ATAAAATGAGCACCTTTACAAACAAATGATTCAATCGGTTTTTATATGAGTTAAATAGTTTTGGCAGAAATCGACGTCATTTTCTAATCAAATCAATTGAGTGCAAGCGTGGGTCAAAGGCCAAGGACGGACGGCATTCGGCCAACCTGGCAACAAGCAACAAGCAAGCAGCTCATTCACATTTATAATATTTTTTCTATAACGTATAGAAAGCACCCACATATCAGCACACACGCACACACACTCGACTTGCTGATTTTTTCGCATGACTTTGTGGGGTCTGGCTGGGATTTGATATATTTTTTTGCCGTTTGTTTGTTTGGGTTGTTAGAAAATTTATTTTTTGTGAAATTTGCAGCATGCCATGGCAAATGAAAAAAAAGAAAACAGAACAGTGGAGCGGCAGACGAAAAGGAAAAGCGTAAAAATATGTGAAATGTGTGTGCAAGTAAAAGAAAAGTGCCAACAATTTTTTTGTTGTATTTTGTGAGTTTCCTATGCTGCGTTTTGTGTTTTGCTTTGGTCATTCGTTGGTTTTTTTTGTTGTTGTGCCGCTTTAGACGAAGGCGAAGGACGATTGAATAACCTTGTAACCTTTTTTATTTGTTTTTTTTCTTTGTTTTTTTTTTTCCGTCGCCGTCTGTTTTTGTTTTGGGTGCTGCGGTTCGCCACAAGTGTGCCCTTTAAGCTAAGCTAGCGCGTTAAGTTGACCCAAAACCAAAGCATTTGAAATGGGATAGTTGTAAGCCTTACCGTTCGGTCAGCTCCATATGCGTTTCCTTTTTTTCTAGCTAAAAATTTGCTCAACACATTATAAAGTCGCGAATTTGCGTTTTTCCAAAACGATCACGACGCGTTCGCTTGCAAACTGAAACTGATCGCAGGCGATCCAGATCTTGAAGGCTGTGCATCCTTTTTGGCGTGAACAACCAGTTTTCTCGCTCAAAACACAATCTATTTTTTTAGCTGAAAATTTCCTTTGTTTGGTGTGACAATTAATAAGAGAAGATCTTGGCAACCTTTTGATGTCTTCAAACTAGTTTCTGACCATAGCACAAGCACCTCACCTTTTTCACCCTATTTTTTACAAGTTTTTTTAAAAAAAAAAACTTTTCAAATAATAATTCTGACAGGGGTAGGCATTAGGCATCAGGCATTAGGCATTATATAAAGATCCTCAGCTGCTGCATGGGAACCAAAAAGCTGCCAAACAAGTTCTACACTACGCTGCATAATGATGCTAACTAACAGAGCAGACGTAGAGTCTAGAGTAAGTATATTATCATTACTTAGCTAGTAAGATAGCACTAACATTACATTACATTTTTTGGAATGCAGCCTATATTTAGAATTTTTTTTACTCATTTAAATCAAAGTTCAGAAAGTTAATTGGGGTGGTTTTTGTTTGTGGTTGTCCCGTTTTGGGACGCGTGTCAAGAGTCAAGGGTTAATTGATCTAACCCATTTGGGCCTAGCTCTTTATTATCTGCTTCTGGGATACGCCAGGCAGTCAACCCTAAAGTGTGAGCAGCACGCGTGCGCCCTTTGATTCGTAGTTCGAAATTCCAAAATGGGACCCGTTTTGAGGGCAGAGGCTAAGCCGACTGTCAGCTAGATCTCATAAGGTATGTAGAGCCAGAGCAGTATATGCTATTTACAACTATTTTCATTATGCCAGCTCTTTATTCATTAGTGTTTTCGTAACATTTGAACATTTAGCTTAACAACAAGCATTTGAAAACTCAGTGCACAAAATCCTCCTGGCGAGCATTTGGCAAAATGCTTTTCTAATTTGTTGTTGCTGCCAGTTTTTGCAGTATTTCAAAGTGGTTGCTAAAATGTTGCAGCAACTTTGCGGATAAACTTCATGCACTCAGCTGCGTTGGGGCCATTCGACGATGGGTATTTGATAGGGGGAGGGGCGCAGTTTAAGGACTGAGCGCTTTGCCGCAAAGGCAACTTTTAGTTTTCGCTTGCTAAAATAATAATTATGAATATTATTTTTCGAGATTAGAAGAGCTGCCAGAGTTGCCAAAGTTGCTGCTGCAACGAACGTGCTGGCGCCCTCTGGCGTCTGTCGCTTGCACATCTCCTGTCATATTTTATGCAGCAAATTCGCAACTTCGTTTATTTTCCATGTGATTAAAATTCTAAAAATATAATCAGAGCATGTCCTGCATGTCCTGGCAGGCACTGTACTTTCGGCAAAAGGTAATCTACTAGAAAATTTGCTTTGCAATTAGTGCAATTAAACTATGTGCGCTGAGTGCGTAGGAGCTGTGGCACAAGGATGCGGCTGCCACGTCCTGTTGGCTCTTTAAAGAGCCTGATAACTTTAAGAAGTGAGCTAAGCAGCTCAAATATCGAAAGGGTTAATTTTGAATGTCGACATGCACTTAACAAAGTTAAACAAAGCCCATTAATAAGAAATGCTCGACTCCCACACCAAAAATGAAAATGAAATGTAAATTTCTAGTTTGCACAGCAATTTGATCCTGCCAACGCGCCCCAAGGACTTGCGGTACCCTTCGAGTGCTGCCGTCAGCTTCTTGATGTCATTAATTTTTTAAGCTTACTTGGAATTTTTGGGCCGGGCCAAATAATATGGCTGACCATCAAGAAGCAAGGGGTAAAGGGTTTTAATTGTTTTGGGGTGTTCAGTTGTGTCTGGCCCGCTCCTCTTGGTGCTTCGGGTATTGGTTTAGTTTCCAAATACTCTTGAGCCTACCCATAATTAAAGGTCTCTGCCTCTTCCTCTTACTCTTCTGCCCTGATGATTTATTGTTCGACAGACAAAAGTTAGCACCAGTCGGCGTTTTAGGCTAAATTAGAAAGGGTTCTTATATGTCTGCATTTGTTGCTTGGGTTAAACTTTGAGGCCATTTGGGGTTCAGCTAAGCGCCCATTTATTGTCACGCCGTCTAGCTATTCATTTTATTTATATAAGTTTAGTGTTAATGTTTAATTTAGTAATGGATTAGAGCAGGCGCCAGTTGTTGCAACCGTGACTGCTGTTCATTATTTTAAGTCACGTAGCCAGGCTTAGAAACGGCTTTCAGGCTGTTGAGGATTTATTGTGACATTTTCTTGAAATACGCAAACAGGGCAGGACGCCCAATATGCTTTGGACAGGTTGTGGAGAAAGGCACACTCCAAGTTGTAGTCGGCTTACAAAATTGTTAAGGATATCTACAGTGCTGGCAGGTCGCTGGTTGGGAGCCAGCATAAAAACTGAAATTTAATGAAGCAACCATTGCCACAAAAACCCACACAGTTAGTTGGGTCGGGGGAAGCGGGACCTTAAGGGTCACTCGCAGCCAGGCGAAAATTTAGTTGGTATCCTGTCAGACAAACCAAGCACCACACGGGCAACAACAGCACCGCCAGCTGCATAGATTGGTTATTATCTTTTAGTTTGCTGCACAACTTTTTCACTCTACATGTAAATTTTGCCAGGGCCAGAGTTGCCACCCCGTTGCGCTCGCACCTATCGTTCTTTTTAGGGCGAAATTATTTTATAATGAATGTTCGTATTTAGCTAAAGTTTTATGAATGGCGTTCATTATGGGCACCGGTAGGTGTGTGCGGGTGTGTGCGGTTCAGTTTGGCTTTACTTTGGCACTAGAAACTACAGCCAGCGGCGCACAGGAGTAGCTCAGCACAGAAGTGAACCACAAAAATATGAAAACCACATTTATATTGCACATCGGGCAGCTGTTTTCGAACTTTGGCTGTCCCTCGGTCAGTTTGCTCTGTGCGTGTATGTGTGTGTGTGTGTGTGTGTGTGTGTGTGCCTCATATGCTAGTTCGCGGTGTTGGTTGTAACCGCCAGCGCTCTTTGGGCCAGCATTTCAGTTCGGCTACCAAATGGAAATCTACTGAAATTGCGTCCAATGATGTTGGCTTACAACTTTTCGGTAAGGCTTGCTGCGGGCTAAACCAATGTGCAAAAGCGTATACGGTTAGTAATGGTATATTTATTTGGACTGATTCTGCTTATAGCAATACCATCTTAAAATGCTTAAATTTAATTTACTGATCGCATTTTAGAGATCATCCTAAAATAATAAAGTTTGTCTTATTTGCTACTTTCTTTTATATTTCAATATTTCTTTGCAAAAAGCATTTAATTAGTCACTAATTCCCTTTTCCTTTCTTAATGCTGAAACATTAAATACTTTACTAGCTTGAGGTCAAATATTTTCTGAAACGAAGAACTTAATTCGTACTCGTGATAGAGTTTTGGATATTACACGTTTTCTTATGAGAAGTTTCTCCTTCTATCGTTAAGAGAGCTTGTGCTGCAACTATTAAGGTTCTAAGAACGCAGTTAGTTATTCTTCAGTTTTGTAAAATAAATAAATAAATATTTAGTTCATTTTCGCAGAAGGCACTGAGACGCTCAGACTCTTGCGAATATAAGAATTGAATGGAGCCACAGTCTACGAAAAACATATATGTATGTTCTTGCATTCGCAATATCTTTTATATTGCAAATGTAAATGTAATCTTAATTTTACACATAATTGCAGCCCACTAGTCTCATTGAAATACCTCTAAATTTAGTGTAAGCCCCAATTCGATTGCTTAAAGCTTGAAAGGACTTTCACAATGTAATTTTCAAGCGAGTGCGCTGCTCACCTAGCTCACCCTTGAGTCTGTCAGCTCCTCTTCCACGCCTTAATCTGAATACTAACAACCCAAAACGCAGTGAAGCAAAAGCGTAACGAAATTTTTAATACAGGGAGCGGGTGATGGCGACACGGGTCGAACGGGGTAGAGAGCGCTGCTGACAACCCTTTCAAAATTCAAACTTGACAATTAAGTAAAATAAATGAGAAGCTCTCGGCGCTGGCTACGTGACGTGGCCAGCAAAAGATGCGAGTTCAGAGAGATGCCGGAGATGCGAGCTCCGAGCTGTGACCTGCGAGTTGGTTGCCCTGAACATGGCCCGCAACTTTGACACCCCGAAGCAAGGAGTGAAGGGTCTGGAGTTTGGGTGGGTGGCTGGTTTGCGTGGTTGCTTGTTGTATTTGTGGCAGATTGTACCCCAAGGTACAAGCAAAGTGCTCCTCTCTTCTGCCGCTGCTGCTTATGCTGCTGGCAGCCATTATGGCAAACTTATATTTGCGCTAGAGAAACATAACAAAGCAGTGAGTGCCCCACACTCAATGCTGTATTTGGACTACCCACACATTAGATTAACCAATGTCCTGCTGCAACGGCAGCTCTAGCTCCAGTTCCAGTGCCCGCCGCATGTTTCGTGCGCAGTTGGTGAGGTCACTAGTGTCGTAAGATGAATCCTTTTGGCAAATGCCTTCAGGGTGCAAAAATAAAACAAGCAACGGCAGTTACGGTCTCTGCTCTTCCTCGTCCTCGTGCCAAAGGCTTCTACCCATAGACCCCCGCTCGCTGCTTTATTTAGATTAGTTGTTTGGGTTTGCCGCTGCCAGGATCTGGCGTCGCTCTGGCACTCGCAGCAGTCGTTCGCGCAAGAAAATAATGAAAACAGCAACTTTCATAATGAAGGTCCTTCGCTGCCGCCAGTATGTCCGTGTGCGTGCCCGTGTCCCTGGCGCGTCTCTTTTGAAATTATAATCTGCGCCATGGCGCCGCCGCCGTGGCCGTCGTCGTCGTCGCCGTCATCGTCAACATATTCCTTCTGCCTTCCCTTCAGTGTTGACAACTTTGCATTACTTCTCATGCTTCGCCTGGTTAAAGGACCTGCGCTCGGTTTACACGCTTAGCTCTAGCAGTGGGATCCCTGCCTGGGTGCTCGGGTACTTTGTGTGTAATGCGTGGTGTGGTGAGTGTGTGTGTGTGTGTGTGTGTGTGTTGCTACCATGTTTTGTATAAACAGCTTTCAGTTTTTGGCTTCTTCGAGCGCTGGTCAGCTCCCAAAATCTCCAGCCGCAAAAGAGCGAGTGCTTGAATTTATACAACAAATGGCCTCAGTCGACTAATTTACATGCAGAAATCAAATAAGCTCCATGTACACATAATGAACATAAAACTGGACTCTGAGGCCGTCGTCAACTTACTGCGAGAACAAAAGCGAGCCAGCAATGAGAAGGTCCTTCAGAGTTTTACTAATTACTTTGATGAACAAAGGCGGGCAAAATTTGAGTGACGCAAACAAAAGCTGAAAAAATCAACATAAACGAGAAAATTGAAAAGTTTTTCGTTTGGTTTTTATTTTCCTTTTTATTATTGTTTAAGCATTTGTTGGGCTTGGCTCAGGCACAGGAATAAACTCAATTCATTTGTGTAGCAAATTACTTGCCAACTAACTAACTAAAACTATTTAATTTCCTGCACAACCAACAAATTCAATTTACAGACACACACAGCTATCGTTAAAGAACCGAGCATTTTTGAGAGGCTAGAACTTTGGGACCACTACACAACTTCGGCCAGAAGGAAATAAGTTTTATTGCACCCACACTAAAACGCCGAGGGATCTGCAGCAAGCGCTACCCTTGTCTAGGCACCTGCTAACCAACACCCTCTTTTTGCTAAAGCCAAGCCCACATTCACATTCTTGCCCAGACAAAAGTCACAACTATGCCAAGCTGGCAATGCGGGCTTCGTTTTGGCTGCGAATCTCGATTGTCCCACCCACCCTGGGCAGCTGCGACTTTTTGGCCACTGAAGACGCCATGTTAGATTGGGGTCTCAATTCTGAGGACTGGGACAAACGAATTCAATTTGCATTTTCATCCTGGCTACAAATATTTGCACTGGCCCCGGCAATGAGTTATTGAATTAGTCGGGCGTGTGGGTTGAATTTTTAGTTAAGGCTTGAAATAGTATCTAACGCATCTTTCTTGGCTATATTTTCACTCTCAACTTGCATTTAATTAAAGAAAATACCTTTACCAAATGGTTTTTCGTTTTGTTTTCTTCTGTCAACCCCTTTACTGCTCTTGGCCTCTCCTTCCCATGCCCTTAACTTGACCTAATGTATGCAGCGCACAAATATTGCCTCAGACAGCTGAATGAACTCGCAGGCAGGGGCATCAGCTAAGCCAGACAAACAGATAGGCAAATAGACGATATACTCCTGACTAGACAGTGAGCCAGGACGCAAAAACTATTCAAAAGAAACTGCAGAAGACGGAAAGAGGTTCGAGTTTGCGTCTAGTCTGGTTTTCCCCCTGCTTGATATTTGCATAGGGTTGTTCGCTTTCTTGTTTGTACAAGCTCTTCAATGGCATCATAAGGTTGCGCTCTGCTTGGTCAGAAAATCTCTTCAATATCATAGTCAATTCGAGATACGATTACTCTGGAAGAAATGTATACAAAGTTCAACTTAAGGAAATCCAGTTTCTAAAAAATAAAATGTTTTTATTTCAAGCATAGTAATTTTCAATTATTGTAAGCATATAAATTAAATAATACATTGTAAGAACAATTTGACATATAATATCATATTTGGATACAAATTCTACTGGCTTATAGTTTTTAGCTAATATCCCATCATTTTAATAATAATAATTTGGTTTTGGGTTTCCTCGCTTGGTCATTATTTTGATGCTTGATGCTTGATGCTTGTAATTTTCAACAAGTTATAACATCGAATAGGTGATAAGCTGCATTCCAAAAAGTCGATAGCGAGAATTTCGAAATAGCTGTACAGACAATCTGCACATATTTTGCTTATATATTGATATTTGTTGGCTATAATTTAATACAAAATTATTAACATTTATTTGGCGTACGTCATCTTAACACTAGTATTATACTGAAAAGTTACCCAAGAAGAATTCTCAATTATATATTTCAGTACAGTGCCTAAATGCAGTTGAATGCAATAAATTTGTAGGGTGTCTGAGGTGTGTGACATCATTATAAGATTCACTTTACTTTGTATCCCTTTTTTTGCTCACCCGTTTTTGCTGTCTCTGTTTTTTGTAGCAATTGTATTGCCCCGTTTATGGCCTATCATCGGCATTGTAGTCTGTCATATGTCTGTCCTTTTGTCCGCCCCACAGTCTAGTTACTTGCCTCTGCTCTTTATGGGGTCCCATTTCAGAACGTTTAACGCGTGTCTGGCTTGTGGCAGAAATACGAACGATCTGATTGTCAATTGAGGGGAAGTGACAGCATTTATAAATCAAATCTGGCTGCCCAGCGCAAAGGTGATATTGAATAAATAGCACTAATCCGTGCCCAAAAGCAAATCGCCAGCAATTTACAATTTGAAATGAGTAAATGGGCCGATGCCAGGTGAACAATCAACAAACGAACACAGAAACTGAAACTGAAACAAAAACATTTGCAAATCCATTAATAATCCATAAAAATGATTAATTACTGTAAACCTGAGAGTGTGTGTGTGTGTGAGATCTGCTTTGTCTGCTGTCTATCAATGCTGCCGCAAGCCCCCTACCTACCCAAAGACCCTTCCCCTCCCCTCTGCACCACCCACCGCATGTGTTTGTTGCATTGGAAATTTTCCAATTTATGCTTATAACTGTATCCACTATATTTACTAAGGGCCAGTGCATAGAGCTGCTCTGCCGTCGGCTGCTGCTGCCTTTACATCTGCTGCTGATGCTGTGGCTGCATGGCTAACGCACATGCGCAATCTCGCTACATATTTGTATGCATATATATGTGTATGGCTGTGTGTGTGTGCCGCATTTGTGTGTATGCAGCAGCTAAACAATGAAAATCCGACACTGCGTCGGCCATTCAGTTGCCAAGCTTCCATTTTGCCAGCATCGGCCATGGCGTTTAGTCGTATTCGGCACGGCTGCCCACGCCTCAAGCCGCATGCCACAAGCCTTGAAATCGGTAGGAAATTCTGCCAAGCGTGTCGACAGGGGGGTGGTCTCGTTGTGCCACCCCTTGGGTGGTTATTTAAGAGCTGCACTTAGAATACTGCTGCGTAGTTTCTCTTAAATTATCCGATACAGGAAACTACTTTACCGACAATTATTCTAAGGTATCTAACTGCCCATAGATGGCGCTAGCGACAGCATTTTTGAGCCCGCTCATAGAGATTGGGTAAAATAGGTAGTTTAACTATGAGGGTTGATTTGAATGGAAAGGGTGTCTGGTATAATTTGGGGAAATTTGACCAGGAAAATAGTGAGAAGAAGAGTACTGATTGTCTTTTTTATAAATTGTAGTAATTGCGAATGTATATTTAAATTTGTATATAAACCTGCAACGTGCTTTGTTTAAATAATTTCCACTAATAACAATATAGAATCTGCAATAACACAAACCTTGTTGATATGAATCAAAACACATTCGCGCGAAAACAATATTGTTTTTTGTTTGTGCTTTGTTACACAAAGTTAAAAACAAGCTTAAATTATTTTTTTTCGACAAAAGAGAAACTGTGCATTAGAGCTAAAAGAAGTTTAAGGCCTCATCAGTTCCTACCCCCCTCCCCCACCCCCTTGGTTACCAAATGTGGCAGGCACGTTTTTCATGATCGCCAAAGTCAGAAATCAAGAGGCCTCTTTTTCACTAGTTTTCACCTTTGTATTATTATTAATTTTTCTGTAGCAACCTTTATTCAAAGAATTATAATTTTTTACTATTTGGTTATTGTTTTGATATATTCCTGGGAATGTGAAACGATTCTTGGCAATATGTTTATTAAATATGTTAGAAAAAGGGACATTCGTGAAACAATAGTTAACTTGTTTAATGCTCTGCCAGGCTTCGAAGTAGGAAGTACATAATAATTTCCTTTTGAGCATTCCTAATATATTTTATAAAAAGGCAGCTAACCTTTTATATATGTGTTTAATTGTAAACAGTGATTTTTTTTGTTTTTAATAATTTTAATTTAACCAATATGTTTGATTGTCTAAAAACCTTTTTATATTTAATCAATTATGATTTGCTTTTGTCTTTTTTTTATGTGCACATCCTATGTTAACAGCCTATATTAACAGACACAATCGACTTGCTCGTACAAATATTTACTTAATTTCAAGGATGCAAAGTAGACTCTCTGCAGATATGTAGCTTAACATTTTTTCACCTATATAGGATCTCAATGTGCCGATCAAAACAGATGGAAAAATATTTAAATCCTACAAAGAAACATATTCTCTTCATCAACTGAATCATATGAAAAGTTAATAAATTGCATAAATGGATCAACCATGTGCTCTGATCTTTATAACATAAGTCAAAGTAACCTCTAAAGATATATTAAAAATGAAGCCGACGCAGCAACAAATGTCACAAGTCTTGCGAGGCAATTAAATTTAGATTGTTTTTGGCGGCACGACGACCCAATAAAATGTCAAATTTATCATTAACTAGTAAGAAAACAAGGCGTAACGAATATAAAACCAAAAAAAAGTTAAATTGAGCTATTGTCCATCATCTTTGCCATAAAAATATGCGCTGTCCCGAAATTGCTTCTCATATTTATGAGGGGCACAAGTGTCACCTTAAGCCTCGACATGTTTGAAAGATGAACAATTTACAATTGTGGGACAATTAACTGACGGTCGCGGACAAGCCATAAATCTGAGGTGTTAAAAAAGACGAGACGAGCAGCATAAAAAGTGAAGCACATGTTTTGTAGATGCTCAATTGCCTTCCCATTTTTTTTTGTTGGTGGTTGGTTTTCGGTGAGCCTGTGGTGGGGGCGAGGGTGGTAATCTTTTGTGGTCTGTGCGTGCCGCAAGTGTCGCGTTTTGAAATTGCTCTGGCATATTGTGCAGGTCAGGTTCGATGGACTGAACAAAACTTTGACAGAGTCGGGCACTGCACCGCGCACCCAACACTCAGCCCTCATTCCAATGGAGTCCCAGCGGGAGTCGCGCGTCAAACAATAAATGTGCCACATACGGTCCAAAATGCAGCCACGAAAATCCGATTATTACATTTTTTATTCGAATGAAGCAACGTTGCTGTTGACATCGTCCCAATCCTCTCTCCCATAATCAATTAATGCTGGCAATTTGTGCAGCCGAACGTATCCTCAATTATGTGCGCCAAAGTGGCTGCCATTGCCGAGGATTAATCACAAAAACAACAACAATTTGGCAGTGAAAACCATTAAAAAAAAAAATACAAAAGCGATGCCAATCGCAATTTTCCCATGGAAGTGCGACTGACTTGACGTTAAGCGATCCAGACAACAGCAATGTGAATTATAACAAAAACAAACATTTAGTGGGGGTCGCGAGCTAATCGAAAAAAATGCCGAAAGTCAAATACAAAATCGAAACCAAACACAAACACACACAATGACAATGTCAATAGCAAGCGAACATTATAAAAAATCTACAACGAAAAGCTTTTCAGGCTTGTTGACAAATCCTATGCTCCGAAAATGCTACAGGACAGAATAGCTCCAAGCACGTGGCATAGAAATTGACTATTTTGTTATTAGGATAGGAATTACAAAAAAAAAAAAAATACATATATCACTTGCTGCGCACACTATGCTGCAGCTGTGCTTCTTCTTCCCATAGCACCTGATTATAGGAAATGTCCTCTTGATAAGCTTCTGTGTATAGTCCCATATTTATTTTATTTATTATTTTTTATGTTTGTATATTTATTTAAATACATGTATATGTTACATTTATATATGTACTAAAATGTATGTATATTGATGTAGTTTTATGAATATGTTTTCAACAAATCGATTTTGATCGGTTTCATGGAAATGGGGAAAGATATTGTTAATTCGAAAGAAAAACTTGATCTGCTCAAGCCATAAGAAAAACTACTTTGCAAATTACAAAACACCAGCTATTATACAACTGTCTGCAACACCTACTCGGCTGTTAATACTTCAAGGGAGGCTGTTAATACTAATGAAAGTCCGAGCTCCTTTCTACTTCTGGTAATCCTGGTCGATAGCTTGTATTATTTCATTCCCCAAACCTCCTTGTCCCAAATCCTTGTCAAAGTCTAGATTCTCTCATACGGCGCTTTGAATGGTTGGCTAGCGAAATCGAAACGTGCAAGTTGTTTATTTTTTGTGTGTTCGCAATTGGCACTTAGCAAAAAAAAATATATTTATATAAAAATATATATGTATTTATATACACATATATATAAGTACACATATGTCGAGTCAGTGCAGTGACGTTTGCCAGGACAGTGCTGAAAAAAGCTCATTGCTGGGGGAACCGAAACTCATCCTTTTCTGTTAGCAGTGCGCTGTTGTTTGGGGTGTGAGTGCATTTTCAATCAAAATCGCTCAACAGCAGCAACTGCAGCAGCAGTCGCAGTCGCAACAACAACATACAACAAGGGGCAAAAACAACAAACAAACTTCACAAAAATTGCACTCGGCAGCATTTTGGCAAGCTCGCAAACTCTTGCGGCGCACATGAGCGCATAAAACAAACAGTTAGGCTGCAAGTGTGCGCGTGTGCGTATGTGTGTGTGTATGTGTGTGTGTGTGTGTGTGTGTGTGTGTGTGTGTGTATGTGTGTGTGTATGGCTCTTGCTCTTTATCTTTTTGCATATAAACGTCGCTAGTACCAGCGTCCAACAGGCCCACTCCCATGCGTTACCCGCCTTGGGCGCCGAGTGCATTTTTGGTCAGTTGCAGTTCGCGACTGGCATTTTTTCTCGCTGCACTTTAAGTGCAGTTTAGCCTGTACCCAGCAGCCAACCCCAAACCCAGCCTTCCACGCCCTTTCCTGCCTTTCGTAGGACTGCCGCCAGTGCAAGTGCCTGCCACCGCGTTTGACTGGCTCTTTGGCGACTTTGAGTGTGCGGCGTTAGAAATTTCGAAAAAAAAGTTGCGCGTTGCAAATGAGTTCTTACAAAGGACATGCGTCCACCCACAGCCCAATATACAAACATGCGCGCACACACTCACACACACGCACATGTGTGTGCCGCCAGATCATGGGTCGGCTTAGCGGGGTGGGGCTTGGCCGTTGCATTTTGGTGCGGCCTTTGGTTCGTTGACGACCAAGTGCCAATTCGCTGGCATGTTGGATTGAAGCGCTGGAGTGGCGCTTAAGTGCTATGGCTCTAGCCATGCCCCATTCCCCATTCCCCCGCCCCAATCCCCAGGCCCCAGCGGACGCCCTCGTTGCGCTTCTTTTTCATTTAATTAAAATTATTTGCCTTTGCCAGAGACCAAGCGCAGCCAGCCACTCGGAACTTAGCTAGATTTGGGCGCCGGTCGCGTCTTCCGGGTGTGCGATCCAAAACCTGCTGTAAGTGCGTGCGGCTTATTGTCAATTAGTGCTGCTGCCACAGCCCGCCTGACCTCCAGCCCTTCCCGGCCACCAAAATGCAGCGATGCATTCAGGCAGCTGCAATCAAAGCCGAACGTGCAACAGCAACCTCTGCGTCGTGTGGCAGTCGCAATTATTTTTGTTGCAAATAAATAAAATGCATAAAAACGTTGAAATAAATGCGGCAAATGCTTACATGTTGCCAATTACAACAAACGCACCAAAACAAAAAACAAATTGTAGTATAAAATATAAAATATAAAATATACACAAATTCGCGTTTGAATAAGCTACTAGTGTCCGGCAAAGCGCAAAGGAATGCAGTCGAATGGTCGGGCTTTGGTGTGAGTTCTACCCTTTCTATATAACGCGGTAAAGTGTATTTTTTTAGCTTCGCTTTTTGTTTGATTTAAAGCTTATGTTTTGAGCTATTTTCATTAAAAGTGAGATTCGCTCAACACAAGTTTGATTTAATACAAATAGATAACAGAAGATCGTCTACAACAAAATTAAAGTGCGGTAACAATAAAAGAAAAAGTTATTTCGGCAGTTTAAGAGAAACTGAGACTTGTTTCACTTTTTTTCGCAGAATCAAAGCATCCTCGGTGACCATTTAATTTTTTTTTTTACATTTTTCAGCGATTTGCCAAATTCCACCCGCAACAGTGGTAAATTGCTGGATGAAAGTTGTTTGTTTCCCGTCCGCTCAGTTTCAAAATCATTTCAAAAGCTTCTTGAAAACATTAATTTTATAACATACTTACATGTCACGGGCAAGGCCGGGTTGTACCCGCTAGTCCAAAAGATGATTCTAAATATATCGTATGAACTTAACAGTGTAATTAGAATATTTTGTATGGTAGTTTCATTTTAGCTAGGGCAATTATAATCGACGCACGAGAAATTGCAATTACTTTCCTACAGCTGCCTAATGAGCTGTCAGCTTCCGTTTCTTTCACTGCGGGCAGGACATGCGGTAAGGACATGTGCGCCATGGTGCGCTCCTATTAATAATTTCAAGATGCGTAATTATTGATTTTCCATTAACACTTTGAGGTGGCAGAAATTAAAACAAACACAAACATAAAAAAAAAATTGAAAAAACAACCAACCAACGTGTGTGTGCGGTGGGCACTTTGAACTTAGGCCTGGTCTCCAACGAGGTCCTGTGCGTCGTCTCACGGCTGGAAAAGCTCTTTGAGGCAACGTTAACGGCGGCTCCCGCTTGTCCTAGTCGTCTGTCGCCTTTGTAGCAATTAGTAGGCGTGTGTGTTATTTATTAATAAATATTTTACACTTCAACGCCCAGGGTTAATTGCACTCACGTATGCTAAGGTTGCAAGGATGAGGGTGAAACTGGCAAGCAAATTATTCTTAAAGTACGCACAAGTAAGCATAGTATAAGATTGATACATAATATCATTACTATACACTTGTAGAGGGTATTCTAAATGTATACTGAAATATATAACTTTTTAACTATAAACATATGTATTATTCTTTAACTTTTTCGCAAACCAATATTTCAATTTCACTCATAATTTACATAATAAAAATCAATAGTCCTTGCTTTCTTTTTGTATGTATATTATATATTAGATTCAACATCTGAGTCAACATAGTTAGGTTAAACTTGGCATTTATGAGTTCCATCAAAGACAATCTAAAGTGTTTAAATTGTCTTTGGTTCTAATATGTTCAATACATACGAACAATCTTATCAACATTGGATAGCTATACCATATAGATTCACTTGAAGAACTGGACGAAAAAAGAGTTTATATCTGCAAAATTGATCCGTTTTTCAGTAAATCATGATCAAAATCAGCAAGACTGTGCCCTCAAGGGTATTTAATCTTCGACGTGCCTAATATAGTCGTTCTCTCTTATTTTCTAATTAAAAACTGTGTGTGGTGTGAGCTAGACCTGGTATAGTGCGTTCTGTTAGCTGTCTTTGTTATTAAACTTGACAGAAAATGAAAAGTCAAACTGTTTAAGACATTGCACAAACATACTTTAAGCAACGCATTGACAAGGGTGGTAGTCAGCGAGGCTCACGCTGCGTTGAATTTGAATATACCGTATAAGGATGCAGGACTATGGGTACGGTCAGTCGCAACCCTTCTTGGACAGTGCCCAGCTGAGCTCTGTTCAACACAGCTCAACTCGGTTCAACTTAGCCAGCCAACCATCCATCCACACTCGCCACGGGCTGCTGCACGCAACGTGGCGCTAATTTCTTTGATTACTCCGATTCTGAGTGAGACGGCTAGGTAATCCTTTGTGCCTTGTCTTTGGGACACGCACGTAAACAAGCGGAAATGAGCTGCTTTCATTGACCAACTGAACTTCAAAACTTTGACTTGGCAGTTGACTAGGCTCAGCCCTAACTGACAGTCAGTCAGCCAACCCCCAAGGCAATAGAATTTTGGTTTATTTTTCCTTAATTATTGAGCAACGGGCGTTATTTTCATTTTTTAATGCCCAGCCAGAGGCATTGTATCCGTTGTATTCTATGTGTAGAAAATAAAAACTTCTTTAAATTGTTTCTTGCTGGAATCCTATATATCGATTCGTTTAAAGGGTTTTTTTTGTTTGCTTTCAGCTTATTTTACTTGGATTTTAGAAGAACCATCTAGCTCATAGAGTTCCTAACACACCTAATTAATATGAACTAATCACAACCCGTGAGGGCACATCCTCCTTTATAACCGTTGTGTGCGTACAATTGAACGGACATAAAGGAAATGCAAAGGAGCCCAAGTATCCACAGACTCCGGGATTTCTAAATCGGGCGTTGCAGAGGGCGTACTGACCAACGGACGCTATTCAAAATCAAATGCAGTCCTCAACGTCAAACATTATCGCCCTGGGGCCAGTTTCGAGCATGTGCAGTTGAATTAATGTGTGCTCTCAATTTGCATGTGTATTTATCTGTCTGTGTTAAATTAGGAATCAAAAGCATTCACTGAAATAAATTGATATATATTTGAAATTTGATTATAGTTGAAAAGGTTATTTTTTAAATATTAAAGGTTCAATGGTTTTAAAATGCTTTTGCTTAAAAAAATATTTCTGGGAATAACAAATATCATCAAATATTAAGATAAACAAGTAGAAGGCTCTAGTCGGGAGCTCCCGATGAGGAGATACCCTGAATCCTCTATCATCTACTAAAACCAAATGCCGAACGCGTTACGCGCTGCTTTGGTTCAGCAGCAATAAAAATAAGATTTAAAAAGTGCTTTCCCGGTAGGGGATCGATCTCGTAACAGACCACCCTATTTGCAACTGCCTCAACCCAACAGCCACACCAACATTTGAATGCTTATGAAAAAAAAAACAATTTGCTCTTGCTGCCCCAAACTCGTGTCCAGCCAAAACACGTTTAATTTAAATTGTAGCTTAAATTGGAGGGCAATATAAATTAGTTTAAGAAACTTAAGACGGACGGACGGACAGACAGATAGACAGATGGACATTTGCACAAAAACTTTATATCCTTTTAAGCATTTTTAATGGGTTCAGGGTATAAAAAATTTAATTATATTTATATTTTCTTTATTTATTTAGTTGCTTGAGCAGAAAGTTTTCGGATTGACTCCCCTAGAAGATTATTAGTTATTAGTTATTAAGAAGAGTGAAAATAATTTCCCTTAAGCTCATTTATTACCATTAAATTTAACTTATTCACTGCTTTTCAAATCTTTCAAGTAAAAATTGCAAATGCCAGTATAGAGGCTGCTCAAACATGCACACATGTACTTCTTCTCTTCCCCGCATATCTACGGCACTTCTCTTATACTCTGTTTTGCTCTCATCTAACATAAATATAAAACATCTCGTCGAACATTTGGTATTCAATGCAAGCGATGGAAGAAACAGTGGAACAAAAAGGCAAACAGTCAATGAGGTCTCAAATTGTGTAGACTGGACTGAAGCACTGCTAATGATTGATGCTGACGGCCTCTATAAGCATGTGAATTTTATAGCCATACAATGCAGAGGCCGTCGTGTGTGTGAAGCTGGTAAAGAGAGCTCGCCAAAAAGGAACTTTGCACGCATGCACTTGTCGACTTTTGCATAATGCGCAATGAATGACTCTTGAATGGGGGTGGGGGAGGCTGGACAGGCGGAAGGCTTTTGGCCGAGCTACTTTTCGGTCATTATTCGAATGGCTGGGCAGTCCTGGGCTCTGGCTGGAGCTCACACATACACACATGTGTGGATATGGAAATGGGAATTCTTTGATTTGATTTTTATTTGGCTGTTTGTACGCCACTAAAAAGTTAATTGCACGAAAAATAAGTTAATACACCGCTCCGGCCCAGTGCCCGCACCGTACCGCTTACCATCCGCTTGAGTCCGCTCCAGTCGCTGTTTAATTTAATTAGTAGTCGTCCTTCTGTATTACAACTACCCACCAGTCCGCCTGCCTGTCACATGCGTCCGAGCTCGCGCCTGTGCCCGTATCACGATGCGGACCCGCCTCTCTTTGGCTTTTTTTTTTGCTGACTGTTTGCCAATTCGTTGACGTGAAGCTGTAGCTGCATGTTCCAGCGGCGCTCAAGTCAATTAGCAAGTATTTTTAATTGCTTTAAATTTGCATAATTTCTGTCAACAAGCAACCGGTCTGACTGCTCCCACGCGGATCTCACGGTCTTTCTGTCTGCCCAACGCCAACTGAAGACTTTGGACATTAACTTCAATTAGCCATGACAATGAACAGTGGTCAGTGAGTCGGGGAATGCCTGGGGCTAGGTTAAAAGAAAGTCATCTAATGCCCGGTCTAATCCAAGTTTGAGTGCCCCAACTGCGGCGGGCATTTCAATTAACCCGACGCACCTCAAAACGCACGGCAAGCGCTGGCCATAAACTTGGGCAAGACAAATCCATGGCACACGCCAAGGAACGAAATGTCGAAATGTCCCTCGCATACAATTTGACCTCATTTTGCAGCTGGTGAAGACGCACAACTAATTAGACACATGCCAGCCATGATAATACAGCTCGGGACAGAGAAGCAGACGACTGATATGTGTGGTTATGAAAGTTCATTTGTATTTGCTTCTGTAGCTGCGGTGTGTGTGTGTGCGCTTGACCGTACGCAAATTACTTGTGTCATAAATTTACCAGACAACCGACAAGCGACAAGAAAAGTCAAGCGACCCAAATGACACCCGAGGCTTACAAGTGGGTCGAAGAATAAAACCTGCCAGCCAGGCTGTAAGCCCAATCGAGCCCGGAGCAGCCCAAGGACTCAATTCAACGTGAGGCGCAGATTGCTTTTGTTCCAGGATATCGGGCAAAAGGTAACTATCACGTATCTTTAAGCATTCACATTAAGTTAGCCAAGTTTTATGGCATTCTCTCATTCAATAGTTAGCGAGCGACCTTCATAAAGATTCCTATCTTAACGATGACAGCGGAAAAGTTGCAGCATATTCTGTTACACACACACACTCTATTGCCTCAAGATTCAAGCCTGCACATTGTCTTTGATTTAAGCGCCAGCAAAGTTGGCTTAAAAGTCCCCAAAAATCCAAACCCCTAACAGAGCATTCGTTCTCTTATCGAAGCCCTTCCAATGCCCACCATGGACCAAAGCAGCAGCACAAAGGCCCGAGATGCAAGTGCGGCGATAAGCTTAATATGCGTTTTCCTCAACTGCTCATTAGGTTAGCATGCCCGACGGCAGGATAACCGGTTCGCCATAGACACACATACACAAGGCACGCCAATAATTATAGGTTTGAATGCCGGCCTCAGCTCAGCTCGAGTCGGCACTAAATTCATAAACACTTTCCATAGTTTTAACGGCCAACCCTTTAATGGCCTTCTGAATGGTTAGTGTGACAAACAAAAGGACAAGCATGAAGCGAGAAGCCACCACCTGGGCTCCTTTGGCAACTGCCTGGCCATTTCTTAATTTCGGCTACGTGACACACACAGGAGCAGCAATTGCGCCAGGCCGTAGAATAGTGTAAAGTTGCGTCTCCAGAGTCTTCCTCTTTTGTTTGCCATAAAGTTGCTCATCTGGATGCGTTTATTGTTTCTTAAAGATTACCATCGAGCTGGTTACCCCTTAAGTTATGGCCAAAGTTTTACTCAGTCAATGGCAACTGACCAAAATATTTACATGCCTTTAAACGCAAGCAATTTACGTATACATTTGTAAGCAAACAATGCAATGGAAATCAGTAGAAAATCATGAATGAAATCGCGTAAAAGTTGTTTAACAAAAAATAAATAAAAATAACACCGTGAAAAGTGAAAACGTGTGAAAAAATAATATCATTTGCGGAAATGAAGGGCACTGAAAAACGAGCGAATAATTTTCGCATATTGAGTAATCAATTAAAATTAACCGAAAAACGAAATAAAATTCAATACGCACACACAGACATAAGCCCATATCCTCCTGCGGGAGCAGCCTACAGGACAATGTTGTGGCACTGACCGGTTGCCGGAGCTGTAAACCGTGACCCCATTCCAATGGGGTGCGTACCGGTTGCTTCATTAACCGGCACATGTACATAAGCGCAAGCACACACACACATATATAAGCAAGGGCCCGTGCGCACCGTTTTCAACTCATTCACCGGACACGGAGCCGGCATTTAATTTTTTTCGCTTACTCATACCATTACAATGCCACATAATAACAACAACAGCAACAAAAAACAACAACAACGGGCGTGTGTGCCAATGCCATTCAAGGTCAAACCATAATCGTTGATAATGAAAATTATTTCTCTCTCACAGCTTTTTTTACCCCCTTTAGGGTTCACTCACATTTTAATGGCCTTGTTCTGCGTCTCATATTTATTTTTGTCACTTGTTTTTCTTTAATTTTCATTTAATGCAATTGCTGCAACCGAGCCCCGCCTCAGCGCCACCTCATTGTGTAAATTATTGCCGAAAAAAGAAATGGCAAAAATGCAGGCGCCCCAAAGTATGCAACATCATTAAAAATCAATGGCACACAAACTGATAAAGGCCGCGGGGGCGTGGCAATAACCAGATTTTCCACATTAAATGCCTTTTTTTGTTGCTTTGTTTTCATTTTTTATTGTTGGCCGCAATTTATTTTTGATTGTTTTTTAATTTATTTTTTATTCGTACAAAAAGCGCAACAAAAATCATGAAAAAATGCGCGCGAATGCGAAGCGCACTGCAGAAATCAACAAAAATGCCAAAGAATACAAAAAATATAAATATAAATACAAAAAAATGATACAAAAAAGCCGGCCAAAAACACCGGTCAGCAGCATCAGGAGCAACAGCAGGCGGGTCGACGAGTCACATGGCGTCCTTTTTAAGTGTGTGAATGGCGTCTGTGTGCTTATATTTATATATACATATATATATATATATATATATATATATATATATATATATATATATATATATTTGTTATTTTTTTTTTTTTTTTGGTAAGTGTATGCACTGGCACTGGTGAGTGGTAAAACTGTTGCTGGGGTGTTGCAGCGTCAAAAATACAATAAAAACAGAATGTGTCGAAAATATAAAAATGGATATTGCAACAAGCAAACAGAAGCAGCAGCAGGAGTTGGCCAAAAAAGGAGCGGACTGACTGCAAGAGAGTGCAGAAGAGCAACAGAGAAAACTCGAAGGAGGTAGAATCCGCCAAGATCGACGGCGAAGTTATGTCGCTTTGAAACGTCATATCTCCATGATTTTTTTAGATCGGCAGAGTTATGTCGCTTCAAAACGACATAACTACCCCGAAAACTTTAAATGGCTATATCTCGGCCAAATAAAGCCTGATAGGGGCCAAAAAGGGAGGGGCTACTCGGGGGGGTCCGTAGAATCCGCCAAGATCGACGGCGAAGTTATGTCGCTTTGAAACGTCATATCTCCAGGATTTTTTTAGATCGGCGGAATTATGTCGCTTCATAACGACATAACTACCCCGAAAACCTTAAATGGTTATATCTCGGCCAAATAAAGCCCGACAGTGGCCAAAAAGGGAGGGG